CTGGGAGCTCTGGCCCGAGCCAGTGCCTCCACTCCGACCGCCGCCGCCACCACTACCACCGCTCCGACCGCCACCGCCACCACCGCCACCACCGCCACCGCCGCCACCGCCGCCGCCGCCACTACTGCCACTGCTTCCGCCGCCGCCCCCGCCTCCGCCGCTGCTGGTGCTGTTGGCGGTGCCCCAGCCTCTGTCGGTGTCGGCCCAAGTACCGCCTGTATTTCCATAAGTATCGCCACTGCTTTCCCAACCGTCGTTGCTGCCCCACCCCCCTTCATTGGAGGCGCTTTCTTCTGCGCCCCCATGCACTGCACGAAAATTCCCGCGCGCCTCGGTGATGCTCTTCTGGCGAAGTTCTTCCGCTTCGCGTTGCGCCAATCCTTCTTCTTGCGTGATAGACAGCTTCTTGCTGGGGTCGTGCCAATTGGGGTAGACCTTCATGTATTCTGCTTTCGTGTAGGGGCGCGCCACACCGCGTTTATCGAAGGTTCCGCGATGGTGTCCGCGCAAAATCCCCTCAAGTCACTCCGCGGCTGTGCCAGGAAGGGGATCTTCCGGTATGCCGAAAACGTTGTGCGTCGCAACTTCTAGCTCCAACGCTGGCATTCCTTTGTTCCGCGGTAGGTTTTGTTCTGCTTCGCCAATGGCGGCAGGTCCGCGGCCAGCTATTGTGTTTCTTGATGTTGACAGCGTATGGCATTCCCTGCAGATGCCGTCAGGGTCAGCGCAGCTTTGCGCGGATATGGGTGATGTGGCACCCAGGGTCTCCCGTCAGGGTGCTTCCATTCGGAGTGGTGGATGTGCTCGAAGTCAAGCAGGAACAGATCGATGAGTTCGTCCATGTCGCCACTGTAGTCAGGAATGTCGAAATCGAGTACATAGACACCGTTCTCGGCTTGTGCTCGTCTGATTTGCTTGCACGACTTGTTGGGCACTGTGTAGTGCACGATGATGTCGCGCGACTTGAGGTCTGTGCTCAATTACACCCCCCAATCCATTAGTTGCGCCGCCGAAAGAAGGTTGAACTGCAGATTCTGCACGATTAGCACGTCATTCAATGTCATGTGCGTCTTGCTCCCACGCGCCTTAAGCACCACGATGCCTTGCGCGCTTACGGTTTATGACCGTGGGGTTCGAGACGGCATTGGATATGAACCGCTCAGAGCCGACCATACGCTGCCCACAACAACTATCGAGGTACCAAGTGTTGTTCCTTCGGTTGTCATCGCACGCGAGCAGCGTTAATCGCGGCGAGAAAATGTGCGGATTATCGAATTTTAGAAATAGTTCGCGTGATATCCAGTCAACATGTGCCGCCCATGAATCAGGTACGTGCTTGGGCTTTCAAGCAGCAGGATTGAGAGATTCCAGTCCTGGTCATCACCTTTGCTGAAGTCCTGGCCAATCCTGGACAGATTGTTGTTTGTGAAGGCGCCAATAGGATGGCATGCTGGTTCCGGTAGGGGCGTGCATACGCGGCGGCAACGTGTTCCACGCGTATGCGTCATTGTCATGTTGCTAATGACGTTTCTCGTAGGTCCGGGTTGCGACGACTTAGATGCTGATGCTGAACCATTGGGTTCAGGTTGCGCGATAGGGGTTAGTACCCGTAGGCTTGACGCGTGTCGTTCCTAGCGTCTTGTTGGCAGGCCCAAGTGCTCGGAGTGGGTTGGCGAGGGGAGGAGCGGAATTCGCATCACTCCAACAAGTGCTCGAAATTTATGCAAATTTTACAGTAACGGCGTCGCGGTCGACATTCTTCTTTGTTGTCGGCGTAGAACACGATCCGTTCCCGGTCTCGTCGGGGCGCTGGTTGCTGCTGGTCCATGTCCCTTCGTTAACGAGAAGGGCGGGGCATAGGGCGGCTTCCAAGATAGCCCCCTGTTGCCGGAGTAGCGCCTTGCAGGGTCGCCATTCTGGGCCAAACCTGCGAGCACGATGTTCACGAAAATCTGCTCTCAAATTTTGTGATTTGATCGTGTAAGCTCCGGCAACGGTTGATGTAGTTGTTGGCCTTATCCCTTGGTGCCATTTTTTTCTCCAGTAGCTGTTGGAGCTGGCGGCTTGAGGACACCGATTCCTTGGGTTGATACCCCCCATTGAGGTGTCGCCAGGCTTCGAGTGATGGAGCAGGCGTGGTTTTGTAGGAACGAATTCCTAGCTGTTCCGCTGGCGGCTTGTTGCGGAGGAGCAAGCCGTGCGCCACGAGCGATTCACTGTACTATAGCACTTCTGCGTAGCTCCCGTCAAAATAATGAAACATCTACGCATTCTGCAATAGCTCCTCCAGCTCGAAGCTCCAGGTATAAAAGTCCTTGCCGTCAAAGCAGACACTTGTCTATATTTATAATCCACACAAAAACCTTGATTGAGCTGAGAGCATTGCTTCATCTCTGGGACGGGGAGTCTTGGGTTTTGAACCATTTGTTTCGAGGGAGAAGGTGTGTGGGGCAGTATCACAGCCATTCGAAGCCGATTGAGAGGGTTGGGAAGATGTTCCCGCGTCGCCATTCCGCACTGTCTTGAGAACTTGCTCCAGAGTTGTGATTCGCTGAGCAGTTGTTCGAGTGTGACGGTGCTTATCGTCGCCGTCGCCTCGTTTGTCGCAGCCAGGTTGGGTTGTGCTTCAGCGGTCAGATATTTTTGACCACCAAATCCTCTGGCCATCCTTTCGCGAGAGCGTGTGCCGGATGCCACCTTAACTCGCTGAAGATAAAAAAGGAAGGATAAAAAAGGTTGATCGTGCCGAGGATCACCTCAGGAAGGTTCGCAGAATCAGAGTGTTGCAGCGGAAGAAATTGACCTCATGTCAGAGTGGATTTAAAATGACTAGGATGATAAAAACATGCAAATACATCTGTATAAATAGGAGTACAATGGAATACGAAACGACCTAGGCTAGGGATACATGTCAGAATCCCAGCCACTAACCACTGGGATAAAATGGCTTGTTTGTGTAGCGGGTGAGTGCGCCCATAACCCCCCAGGCCAACGTGCCTGTAACCCTTCCCTAGGATCAATCAGGGATCTCCAGTGGACCTCTGACACCCCCCCGCACTGGGATGCCCGAGGTGTTTACACCGGGATTCGAACCTGAGACCTTCGCTCTGATACCATGTCAGAATCACAGCCACTAACCACTGGGATAAAAGGGCTTGTTTGTGTAGCAGGTGAGTGCGCCCATAACCCCCCAGGCCAACGTGCCTGTAACCCTTCCCTAGGATCAATCGGGGATCTCCAGTGGACCTCTGGCAATACATTCCCTCATTACATTCAAATTCAACCATTCGACACAAGACAGTTACGAAACTGTTCCCGCCAAAATCCTTGCTCCTGCAACTGCCCTATGCTATCTGCTCCGACGGTCCAGATGCTCCCTAACCAGGGCCTTAGAAGTCAGGATTCTTACCCTGAATTGCTGAAGTTTGACCCTCGTTTTTAACCGTGACCCTGATGTTTCAACCTTTTTTTTTTAGCGACACTGATGTTTCATGTTAAAATAGTAGCTAGAACAAGGAGCCATAGCTAGGGTTTACCTAGCTAGGCAAGAGAGAATTAGGCAAAAGAGGGGGTTTGAACTAGAAAGGAGGGGGATACAAATAGCAAGCCCAAATGGGTTATACTCACTATTGAGTACCCCACTACAGACTAGACAAGCATTATATTCTGACATTTCAGTGTTTTATTTTTTCGAACTCTGAATTTTCAGTGCTTTGTGTTTGAGGATACTGACGAGTCAGTGTTGTATTGGGGTCGACCCGGAAACCGAAAACTCCGTGATTCTCGCATTCCCCTTTCGCCGTAATTGGTGCCGTAACTTGCTACCCAGGCAGGCAGTCAAGTCAAGTTGACACCTAAAGTGCACCTTTGCCGGGCGGGATTGAGCCTATGAGTGATGAGTGACCAGATTCCCTGCAAAGCAAAGTCCCTTGACTTGAATACAGAAGGTAACAATCAGTGTAACAATGAATAACACCACTGATTGTTCTGCGTTTTTATTTTCTGTACTCTGAAAAAACAGCGTTTTCAATATGATGACACTGAAAATCAGTGTTTGGCCTCTGGGGGACAGTGCGTGATCAGTGAGCCCCAAAAGGAATCTGAGGCCCTGTCCCTAACCGTACACGACTCTTCGTGTTACTTCGACCTTTCGCCTTCGTACTCGCTTTTGCATGCTTCGAATCGTTCTTGCTACTGGCAGGAATGCACTTGTGCACTTGGAACATGTTATCAATGCACATGTGCACCCGAATTCACTATTCTTAATAGCTACTACAACAGAAACATGTGCACTTGGAAAATGATATAAACAATAAATAAATCAGTGTACTGGAAATCGTACCCTGAATTTTTTTTTTACCCAGAATTTGTCAGGCTAATGAGTATTTCTACCCTACTAGTCAAGGTAGGCCCTGGCAAACACCCTGATTTGACAGGGTGGCCAAAAACCAATTTTGGGCCCTAGTCATTATGCTCCTTCAGGTCCCACAGCATCCTCGTTCCGTACTGTGTAAGCTAGGTTGGATTGTGCTGTAGAGAGTATGGGTGAATTTTAGAAACAATTTTGGTGCTGGAAAATCGGCAACCATACCGGTAATGATGCTGGTCATTCTGGGTCTAGACCTAGGAACTCCACTCTTCAAAGCAATTACAAAGCAAACAATTACTATTGATACCATACTAGTACAGTAGAAGACATTTCTAACTTCCCATTTACTCTGAGGGATTCATTCCTTTATTGAAATGTAACCAACGGCTATAGCCAAAAAACAAACGACATCGAAACGAACAGACACCATGACCAGCCAAAACACCCAGAAGAAAAACAAAGGACCATTGTGCCCTAGCGAGCGGATGCCTTGTGCCACGGTGCATGGAAATCTTGTCTCCTGAAGGCAAGGCCAGGCCACACAAGGGTCAAACCCCTCTTCATCCTCCTTTCTTGAGGCACTCAAGCAGGGATAAGTGTGTTCCATCAGTAGAGCAGATGCTCCTCACGGCTATGCTGAGGGCACCTTGCCTGGTGAGGGAAGAGACGAACAAGGGGACGAATATGCAAGGGACAAGGTGAGGGGGGTGGAGAACGACTGGGGAAGAAGTTCTTGGGGATAGGGTGGGCGAGAGAAAGAGGACGACAGGGGTGGGGGGGGGGGGGGGGGTTGGGTGGAAGGGAGAGGGAAGATACTGTTGTACCAGGGACATTGTTGACACGAGGAATAAGTAGTTTCTTACCAACGCAGAGCTTGGTATTCAGCGGGACACCCTCGTTGCAAATGCAGAACGGAATCCCGTCCACCCTCCTCACGCACGCCGAGACGGTGGTGTTGCAGTTCTTGAAGGGGCACCAATCTGGAGAGGGAGTGGGAGGGAAAACAGTTCAGGCTGATGCACAACCTGGAGAAAAACGACACCCCCTGCCCTCCCCACCCCCCCCTCCCTCCCCTACGAAAAAACAGCAGGCTGCAATGTCAACAGCAAGACTGGCTGGTGCAAAGAGGTGAAAGGGAGAGAGAAACCACGAGCTAGGAGGAGAGAAAATGGGCAAACGAGTGAAGCAGTTGCTGCAGGGCACGTACCCTGGCAAAAGCCGCCCACTGCCCTGTGGAAGTAATCATCGCACTTGCAGTATGCCTGGCCGGTGATGACATCTTTGGCGCAGTGCTCCTTGGGACCAGTGCAGCTCAGGATCTCGCAGTTATCTGAGTGTAGGGGATTGGAGGAAAGGGTTGAAGAAAGCGTCCAAGAAGGAAGGGTTGGAGGTGGGGTTGAGGGTTAAGGTTTAACAAAGAGGTTTCCTAAAACGGAGCAAGATGGGTTGGCCCTATGAAATTGGACAGTAGGAAAATGCTGAGAACCTACCCTTGCACGTGGTGCCATCAGCCTGCAGCGTGAAGCCCAGATTGCAAACACAAGATGCCTCTCCAGTGGTGGCGTTCTTGTGGCACTCGCCATTTACACCACACCCCTTCACAACGCACGTGTCTGGAAGGGCACGGGTGAAGGGAAGTCGCAGCAGGGGTGCAGCAAAGGTGGCTTCGAAAGAACGCACAAATGCTCGCAGACACACACATACGAAGGGCTAAGGAGCAAAAGGAGCAGTAGAAATGAAGAGACTTTTATGCACTACGACGATATACGGGCGAGACGAGGGATGGATACACACAAATGGACGGGCAAGCATACCAGTGCATTTGCCCTCAAACATCTGGAACCCAGTCTTGCACACACAGGTTGCATCCACGCCATCCCTTTGACACTCGGAGTTGGCGTCGCTGCCTTCACAGTCCTTGATAATGCACACATCTGAAAGGAGGGTGGAACAGACATGAGAGGAAATATGACAAAGTTTGAGGAACCGATGACTGCAGCGCAACATCACATAACGGCTCAAAAAACAGTGGCACCTACCATACTCAGCACCAGCAGTAGCCGGCCCTTACCTTTGCACGTCCTCTCGTCATCCAGGAGCGTGAAGCCAGCGTCGGCGTCACAATGGCAGGACGCCGCTCCAGTGGTGGCGTTGTGGCTGCACGTGCCATTCACACACGCCTTCACCTCGCATGTGTCTGGGAGGGCAGAAGATGGGGGTGAGTGGAAGGAGGGGCGGAGAGGAGTGAGCAAATATTAGCTTGAGGGGACAAAACAACGAGAAGGGGACTGTTAAACACCTCGCTACCCATTGGTTCTAAATGAAAAGGAGACACGCAATGCAGATACATGCAGACCGACAGACAAAGGTGCACACAAAGCGAGTCCAGGAAGCGTACCAGTGCATACGCCCTGGAACAGCTCGAAGTTGATCACGCATTCACAGTGAGCCTCGTCCCGATTCCTCTTACACTCGGAATTGGCGTCCTTGGTTTCACAATCCGCGATCACGCACACGTCTGAAAGGCAGGCGGGAGAGAGAAGTGGGGAAGAGACAAGACACCAGAGTTAGAAAGTACAGAGCGGTGCAGCACAGCAGCATTTACAGAAGTTGTAATCGACACAACACACACAAGATTGAGCCAACAGCAGGACAAAACCGTGTTTTGAACACAGGGGCAACTACTCAGCACCAGCAGTAGCCGGCCCTTACCTTTGCACGTCCTCTCGTCATCCAGGAGCGTGAAGCCAGCGTCGGCGTCACAATGGCAGGACGCCGCTCCAGTGGTGGCGTTGTGGCTGCACGTGCCATTCACACACGCCTTCACCTCGCATGTGTCTGGGAGGGCAGAGGGTGAGGGTGTGTGGAAGGAGGGGTGGAGAGGAGTGAGCAAAAATTAGCTTGAGGGAGTGGGAAAAAGTGGACAAAACAAAGACAAGCAGACACACAAACGCACACGCAGAGAGACAGACAAAGGTGCACACAAAGCGAGTCCAGGAAGCGTACCAGTGCATACGCCCTCGAACAGCTCGAAGTTGAGCTTGCATTCACAGTGGGCCTCGTCCCGATTCCTCTTACACTCGGAATTGGCGTCCTTGGTCTCACAATCCGCGATCATGCACACGTCTGAAAGGCAGGCGGGAGAGAGAAGTGGGGAAGAGACGAGACACCAGAGTTAGAAACGCCATAGCAGCTCACCACGAGCTCAGCAGCACATACAGTCGTTGCAATCGGCACAACACACACGAGATTGAGCCCACAGCAGCACGCAACAGCGTTTTAAACACATCGGCACCGGCTCAACACCAACTATGGCCGGCCCTTACCTTTGCATGTCCTCTCGTCATCCTGCAGCTTGAAGCCAGCGTCGGCGTCACAATGGCATGACGCCGCTCCAGTGGTGGCGTTGTGGCTGCACGTGCCATTCACACACGCCCTCACCTCGCATGTGTCTGGAAGGGCAGAGGCGGAGGGGCGGAGGGTGGAAGGAGGGGTGGAGAGGAGTGAGCAAAAGATAGATTGAGGGAGTGGGAAAAAGTGGACAAAACAAAGACAAGCAGACACACAAACGCACACGCAGAGAGACAGACAAAGGTGCACACAAAGCGAGTCCAGGAAGCGTACCAGTGCATACGCCCTCGAACAGCTCGAAGTTGAGCTTGCATTCACAGTGGGCCTCGTCCCGATTCCTCTTACACTCGGAATTGGTGTCCTTGGTCTCACAATCCGCGATCACGCACACGTCTGAAAGGTTGGCGGGGGAGATGTGGGGAAGAGACGAGACAACAAAGTTAGAAACGCCACAGCAGCGCAGCAGCTCAGCAGCAGCACGTAAACAAGTTGCAATTAGCACAAAACACACGAGTTTAAGCCAACAGCCACAGCACCTACCGCTGCAGTGCGCACAAAACAGACGAGTTTAAGCTAACAGCAACAGCACGTACCCATGCACGTCCTGTTATCGGCCTGCAGCTTGAAGCCAGCCTCGGCGTCACAGGAACAGACAGCCGTCCCGTTTTCGTCCTTGCTGCACGTGCCGTTCACACAGGCCTTAATCGTGCACGTGTCTGCCAAGGGAGGGCAGAGATGGAGGGGAGGGGAGGGAGGTGGGTGAGACGAAAGCGGGCAGAAAGGGAAGAGAGGTACACAAGGAGCAGGCAGCAGAATGAAGCGGGTGAGAGTTTAAGATGCTTGAAGCAGGCGGATGCAAAGCGCAGTGGAGGAGCAGCACTGACCGACGCAGCCTTGGTCGGGCGTCATGGCGAAGCCCCAGTCGCAGACGCATGTCGCGTTCTCGCCTAACGGCTTCACGCACGAGGCATGGGCGCCGCACACCTTGACGGTGCACGGGTCTGCAAGGGCATGGGGCAGGGGTTGCAAGAGAACGATGGTTGAGTTGAGTTGAAGGTCGAGTCTGCCACGTGGCGCAGTGGGGACAAGGCGAGGCGTGGGGCATGGGGCATGGGCAGGAGGGGGTGAAGGAAGGGGAGAGGTGTGGGGGGAAGAAAGGAAACAATGAGATTCAGCCACCAAGGAAGAACACAACGCTCCAGCTAAGGGAAGGGGCACGCTTCCAGAATGTTCGAACTCTGGACCCGATGCAAAGGGGCTCATATCTTAACCCGAAGCAAGGGGTGATGTCTCGTACGTGCGCATGAGTTGTCGGTCACCAGCACGTATTCGGAATTGATGCACACGCAGACTGCATCGCCCGTGTCGTTCTTCTTGCACACCGCAGTGTCGCCGTCGCAGTTCAGCGACTTGCACTTGTCTGGAGCAGGCAGGCAACACGTGGAGTGGAGGACACACGCAGACACACATGGCCACGTGAGGAGCACACGCAAGCAGGCTCATACGGAGGACATGAGCAGGCATGTAAGAAGATGCACAAGCAGGAAACGAGGAGCGATACTTAGGCCTCAAGAGATGTTGGTACGGCGTGAAAAAGGTGTGGCAGCAGGCATGCAGGAAATCACAGATCAGGTAGGGAGATATCAGAAGGTAGGTGGTACAGGCATGCAAGAATTCAGGATGCAGCCATGTGTAGCACGCAAGAGGGAGAGGGGTGGAGCACACACCAGCGCAGTTGCCGTCTCTCCTTTCCTGCCCCCACGGGCAGGGCGGCAGACCGATGTCGCGGACGGCCTCCGCCATGGGCGCACACGCTGCGAAGGGGGAGTGTCGGGAGAGGGGGAGGGGAAGAGAGGGAGGAGAGGAAATAAGGAGAGAAGGCGGCGGAAGAGCAAGGATGGCAACAGTTTCAAGTTTTGGAGTGAAGGAAAAGGTAGGAGTGCATGAGAGCAGGATGAGCCACGAGCGCAGCGACCACGAGCCCACGAGAACCCATGATGCTCGTGGCGATGCTGGTGCCGCAATTGACTATGCTGATGCGCGCTCGTGGCGATGCTGGTGCCGCAATTGGCGCTGGCGAAGCTGATGACGAGCAGGCGGCAGTCTCTCGGCGGTGGAGCCTGATGATTGGCTGGGGAGCACGAGCCTGATGATGTCAGTGATAGCTAAGTAGGATAGCAGGAGGAACCAGAAAGGGGTGAGTGGCGAGCAGCGAAGGCGATGTGGATTGAGCCCCAAGCGCGGGCTTATATACGATAAGAACTCTCGCCTCCCTCCTCCTTTCTTCCTCCCCTCGCCTCTCCCCTTCCCCCTTCCCGCTCCCCCATGGGGACCTTTCCCCCGAGAGGTCTTCCCCCTCGCCCCAAGCAATGCGAGGACCATCGGGGAAAGTCAAAGCCCAAGCAGCGCAAGGACCAAAGGGGAAGTCAAGCGCTTGACTTAGCGACTGCGGTATTTGGTGTCCAGCGTAGCGGGGGAGAGCTTATCCCCCTATCATCCCGGGGGAGAGCTTATCCTTATCCTCCGCGGGGAGCTTATCCTCGGCGATGAGAGCCTATCCTCCAGGGGGGTCGCGCATCGCCCGTTGGCAGGGAGGGGGAAAGCGTGGAGCGGGAGGGGGGGGAGGAGGGACATTGGCTTTGTCCGCGCATCGGCGGTGCGTACTTCCTGGGGTCGAAAGCGAGCGCAAGTGAGTCTGTGGAAGAGTTTGGGATGATGCGCGGTAATGAACGTGAGCCTCTTTTTGCCGCGCGGAAAGTACCTCTCCGCGGAGACGGCGTCGCACGACCAGCGAGGCATAATTCGGATTCTGTGTGAAATCGAGCTGCGAAAAAATCCTACTTGCCTAAAGTACATCTGCATCTTTCAAGCCAACTCATCATATCCCGCGCCGTTGAACTTATCAACCGAGAACTTCAAGACTTCCTTTAGCAGGGACCCCTGGCTGGTTCTCGCCATCATCGGCGACGAAACCCCCGTTGCTTGGCCTCCACTGCTTTCTTGGCTTGAAGACCTTTCTGCCCCATTCTTTCCCATGGCGTTCTAACGGCAGCGACGTAGTAACCCGAGCTCTGATACCACTTGTTATTCTTAAAACGTACTATCCTAGCTACTATCGACCTTACTTGATACTAAGAGTCTCTCCTCGGGGTCACCTCCAACGGTCCCTGGGTGCCTGACCGAGGTCAGCCCCTATCCAAGGGTCCGAGTGTGTAGAGAGAGAGTTGTAATATGAGCTGAGGTGCAGCAGCAATTGTCGCTTTCTTGGCGTTGTCAAAACGATGTATTGCGGCAACATACTCGTCGCAGGCACATGAGAGAACTTCCACTCAAATTATATTTTAAAGCCGGCAGCCCAAATTGCACAAGTTTTAAAAGGTTGACGCGAGGGGGTTTTTGTGGTGAGGGTTTTGGCGAAAGATTCCGATTTCGCTTTTTTCGTTTTTTTCGCCAAACCCAGCCCGCCCTCGTATTTCGCCCTGGGGGTTGGTTCAGTTCCCAAAAGTCCCAAATTGCAGGCACGCTTTTCTTCAAACCTTGAAAACACTAGTTCGTCAAGTTTTAAAAGCTTGACCCGCGCGGCCCGCAATTTGGGACTCGGGCTTTAAACAAGCAAACACAAACAGATTCATACCTAGCCTAGGCTATTCTAGCTTGTCCTATCCTGTTATACTTTTCCTATTTCAGTTCACGTAGCGCGAGCACATATCGAATTTCCTCAAATCCCCTTCCAGACCTTGCACGCATGTCGCCGAAACATTTCGAAATTTCGCACGCCAACAAACTTACGGTGCCGATCCGAGAATTACACTTCGCGCCATCCGCGAACGGTTGCGATTAAAACTGTTCGAATATTGAGCGAAAAGAATTGTCGGCGGGAGCAGGAGACTTCGAATTTCGGCAATTTGTGGGAGGAGCAGGCCGACAAGGCCAGCTTGGAGGCCGAGGCGACGGCGAGAGCGATGGCGGACGGCTCTGGCGCTGGGAAGTGCTATCAACAGGACTAGGCAAGAATGATGCATTGAAAGGAGAGGGTTTTCACTAGCAGCAGTTGGGGTACATATAGCAAACCCTAACTGGGTTGTACTCGCTATAGAGCACCCCACTACAGGCTAGACAATAATAACATTCTGACAAGTGCAAGAGGGCGGGCTGAGGGTAGGCTGAGGGCGGTCTTAGGGTGTCCGACTTGTGCTTGTGGAACGAGATGTTTTTTTTCTCTACCTTTGCCAATGTTGAACCGACTAGTCTCTCATGCTGTGCTTAGTAGTTCATTGTCTCTTGAACATGCATCAAACCGACTTCACATAACCGACTTTACAAGGTATCCAAAACAAAACCGACTACACAAGGTTTATAACGCAGAACCAAAAGCGCAAAGGCAAAAACAACAAAAAAAAACACAAAAAACGGCCAGCGCAAAACACAACAACACATCAGCGCGCAAAAGCGGCCAGCTCGACCATGACAAGAGCACTCGGGACGGCGTTCACCGGACTAGGCGCCTGTCGCCGGCTTCCCTTTGTGCTGCCCCCTCGCCCCCCTGTCCTGAATGATCGTCTTCATCTCGGCGTCAATAGGCAAAACGACGCCGCGAGCTTTGAGTTTAGGGCCGCCGACACTGCAGTCACCCCAGAAGGCGAGGTTTTCGATCATGACACGGGCGATCACCTCTTCGTGGTCTTCCCCGTCCCCTTTCGGAGGCAGCGAGCGCAGCACATCCTCTTTCATGGCCTTCATCACCATGTCGGTGACCTCCTCTTCGCCGACCTGATGGGATGGCGCCCGTTGAAGCACCACCTCGATGATGCTCTTACACCGTCTCGCGAACTCTGAGGACGCTCCGCGCACAGTCGTTGCCGCCCCCCCTTCGCCGGCCGCGGCCTCCGCCGTGGCATTGGTCTCCGAAAAACACCACACCGCGCACGCGGTCCCTGCGAGGATCTCGGATAACCGCTCCGGATTGACACCCGGGATTGGCGAGACTTTCGCGGCCACCGGTGCGAAAGCGGCACACATCGCAGCGCGTGTGATCATGTCGCTCGCCATCTTGTTCTTCGCGGCCTTCTGGACGTCGGTCAACTCCGGAAGTTCGCCGAACCACACCGCAGGACCAAGAGCCACCGTGAGAGCTGCACGACCGTCTTTGGTGATGTTGTTGTAGCCGTTGACCCCGTCTTGGAACCTGCGAAACAAAGCAACACACACCGTCACCGACCGACGCCCGCGTACCGACCGACACGAGCACCTAATTGAGCATTTGCCAAGCGTACCTGTCGCGGAATACAGTCACGCCACGGCTCCACATGACCGTCCACATTCCGCCCGGCATCAATCGCGCCACCTCCCAGTCCGACCTATACTGCTTCATCACATCCTCCTTGACACCATCGAACTCGTCGAGAATCACGTCGCTCACGTAGCCGTCGAACGATGACACGGCGACCGCGATGCAGTAGGCGGCCTCCGTCTTGTCAATTGACCCGCAAATGTAACGACTCTTCTTGCCAAACTTCATCTCCGACACGGCCAGCCTCGTCTCCTTGTCAACGCGGACGCCTGAACCCTTACGACCCTGTGTGTCCGTCTTGGTCGTCCCCTTGGAAGAGTCGGCCTTCGACTTGCCCTTGCGCTTCTGCTTCCCGTCGCCGACCTCACCGGTTGTGGCCGGGGGGGATTTGGCGCCAGTCGCGGTAGGGTCCTCCGCAGGTGCAGACGAGGCGGGTGGTGCACCCTCTTGCGCTTCCACGTTGGGAGCTGGTGCCGCTGACTAAAGTTTCTCCCGTAGGACCTCGATTTCAGGGTCCGGCATCACGATGCTGGCGAGGATGTCGGGGTCCACCCCACCGGCTTCGTCCTCCTCTCTCCACATAGCCATCTCCTCTGTTGCGCTGCCTGGCCCTGCAGTCGCCGCCGTGACATGGCCTGCCTCTGCTCCTTGCTGGTTGCTGGGCGTCGGCGGAATTTCCGGGGTGCTCTGAGCCTCAAGCCACTTCAGATACTCGTCAAACGTTGGCAGGTGGCCGATTAGATTCATGACCACCTATCCCGTCGTAGGCTTAGGGATCGGTTCCACGCCGACCATGCCGGCCCCAGGATCGGGTAAGCTGGCCGCAGCGGCAGTGACAGTTGCAGGCGGAGACGGGCTCGGCTGCGACACAGTCGTCTCGACCACGCCGGGGGTCTCGTGGGCAGTACCTGCTTTGTGCGGCGCTGGTGCCGTCGCCGGCACAATCACCGATGTGCCTGCATCGACCACGCCGCTGGGTAGCACGCCAGTCGCTCGCTGCTTGGGGCAGAAAGTCTCGTCCGCCAGCTGCGCCGTAACGCCACCCGGTCGCGCGTGACTGGCACTCGCCGGACTCGCCGCGGTGTGCGGATGCTGGCCCGCCCCGGCCTGCCCGCCTTGCTGTCCGACCACCGCTGCGGAGCGTCGTCGGCCAGCTGCGCTGTCACGCCGGTCGGTCGGGCGCATTGTGCAGTCGCCAGACTCGTCGAGGGGTGAACATGCTGGCCCTCAACCGGCTTCCCGCCCTGCTGTCCGACCACCGCTGCGGAGCGCAGGAGATCGTCGGCGAGCCGCGCTGTCACGCCGGTCGGTCGGGCGCCTTGTGCAGTCGCCAGACTCGTCGAGGGGTGAACATGCTGGCCCTCAACCGGCTTCCCGCCCTGCTGTCCGACAACCGCTGCGGAGCGCAGGAGGTCTTCGGCCAGCTGCGCTGTGACGCCGGTCGGTCGGGCGCTTTGTGCAATCGCCGGGCTCGACGAGGGGTGAAGATGCTGCCCCGAAACGGGCTGCCCGCCCTGCTGGCCGACCACCGCTGCGAGGTGCAGGAGCTCGTCGGCCAGCTGTGCCGTGACGCCGCTCGGTCAAGCGTCTTGTGTAGTCGCCTGACTGGCCTCGGCCTGGGGATGCTGGTCCGCCACTGTCTGCCCGTCCTGCTCCCCGACCACGGATGCCCCTCCCAGGAGCTTGCCGGCCAGATGCGGCTGGTCGCCGCTCGGTGGCGCGTCGTTAACGCTCGCCGTATTGGTCGCGCCCTGTGGCTGCTCTTCGGCCACGGCCTTCCCACTTTGCTTCCCAACTAGCGAGGCTGAATCCTAGAGCACGTCGCCAACCTGTCGAAAATCGGTGCTCGGTAGCGCGCCCAACCTCTGTTTCAACAAAGCGTCGACGCCGGGACGACGAACATACGGAGCGGGCGGAGGTTCCACGACCATAGCGTGTTTGACCACAGGTCCTCTGCTTCGCTTACCTCCGCTGGTCTGCTCGCCGGTCAGAGATTTTTCGTCGGCGACCCTTTTCCCGCCGTGCTTTGGCGGTGGCCCTTGCTCCTCGGCGGCTGAGCGACCTGCGTGCATCACCAACGCGAGGGCATTTGGGAGGAGGCTAAACCCGGCGGCACCAGAGCCCTGTTGGGTCGCGGAGGTGACCGACTTCACCACGTCGTCCTTAAGCTCTTGGACGATTTTCGCACTCATCCCGTCGGCAGACGTGGAGGCGGGGGAGGGCGGGAGGCTGTGTACGACAGCGGCAGCGATCCCCGGCGCCGCGCTCTCCATGACGGCCTTCACCTCAGCAGACACGACGGATTTGATCCTCTCGCCCACAACATCTGCCACACCTCGCAACGACAGCTCGTCGTCCTCCCGTCGCCTACCCTTCAGAGCAGCAGCCGTCACGTGCAAGGCCTGTATGGTGGGCAGCCACCTCTTGTTCATGTGTTCTACGAGGGAGCTGCGATTGCTAATCGCCTCTTGCACGACCACCCTCATAGCAGTCTCCGCCAACTGGATGCTTCTCCCCAACGTCTGCTCGAGAGAGGTCATGCGGTCGGCGACCGACGATAACTTCTCGACGGCCGTGCTAACGCAGGAGAACAGCGTGTCCATCCGGACCAACTGGGCGTCCAGCCTCTTCTCCGCCACCAGTTTCTCCTCCCTCAGCTTCTTGTTCTCCCTCTCCACTGCCTTCACATGCTTAATGGCCGCCTTTGACGCCATCCTGGTCGTTCGAGCCACCGCTCCCCCGCACCTTCTCACCGGCGAACTGTACGGCCTCTGCTTCGCCGGTGACCATCACGTCTTCGTCCTCACCCTTGTCGTCCTCCTCCTCCTCGTCCGAGCCACCATCCTGCTCACTGCCCCCCTCCTCGTGCTCCTCCTCATGCTCCTCCTCGCCGCCATCCGTGGGTCCGTGCTTGCCCGAGTACGACCCCCCTCGAGCCTCCTGGGCCTCCCCACCCAGAGCGATGCCGGTTCCCACGCCACGACCCACGGTCGTCTCCTCCCGTTTGTTCAGCGCGGCCCTCTCCACGTAGTGCAGCAGCTCAAGTCGGAGCGCCTTCACGCCGACCAGCTTCGGGTTTTCGACGATGAGCGGATCGTAGCTGCGATGCACGTCGTCCAGATGGCCCAACGACCACACGAACGCGCTGACCGACAGCAGCACCGTTCCGGCGGCCTCCTGCCTGAGGATGTAGGGAAATTTCTGAAATCAACAACGAAGCACATGGCGACGACGATAATGGTGAGTCGACGGCTCGACGACGATAGCCTGAGTGACAAGGCGACACCTAAACCCCGAACTCACATCACGGATGGGGCCGGCAACGCTCGACAGACGTTCGGCGACTATTTCGGCAGAAGGAGCCTTGTGCGTCCACTCCCTTCCCTCACGGTTCAACTCCGCCTTCGCGACTTCGCCGAAAAAGCTGCGCATGAACGAGACGGACAAGAGCCATCAGACACAACGGCATAATCGCCGGTAAAGAGGAGCGCGACTAGGCGGCGACGTAGTCCCACCTCAAAAACTTGGCTGCCTCCTCCTCGTGCAGCTTGGAGGAGGTCTTGGGGTCGAGGTGGCGGTAGAAGGTCCCAATCTCCTCCTCGTCGGGCAAAAGCAGGTCGCCAGGGCGCACAACGAGCAAGGCGCTGCAATGCTTGCCGGGAAGAGGTCCGCTGCTGCACAGACGAGAGGCAGGACGAAGACACTTAGGAATCTGTCCGGGAACAATAAGCAGCGCGGTCGGCGATGATCAAGCCTCAAGGGCGCGGACCACTCACGCGGTGATCAAGGGAATGGCCACGATTTCGGAGTGGAAGCCCGCACCGAAAGACAAATAGTCCGGCGTCGACGCCGTCCTAGCGACGTGAAGCCAACCAGCGCGCATCAGCGCCATCCCTGTTGCCTTTTCCGAGGCGATCGAGATCGGACCTGGGACAAGCAGGGGCGAAAGGGCAGGAGCGAAATGCTTGCGCAAGCTGACAGCGAAACAAGCCGACAGTGACGAAGGGTTCGCACGAGGGCGACGTCCCAGGCAGCCAGACCGCCGGCACTAACGTAGGGTCCATCTACGACGACGACGACGACCACGAGTTAATACGACGACGACCTATCGCTACGTCGACCATCACGGACGGACATCGTCGATCGCGCAGGGAGCGTACGAGGTCAACGTCGACCTGGAAACGACGCCGACCTAAACGCGCGACAAACCCTTTAAAACTAACAAAAATACTAGGGAGCTAGGGAACGAAGAACTAGGGATGAGCGCTCACGTAAAGCCGAGGTCGAAGCAAGCTTCCGTGAACGCGAGCCTCTCATCGTGGAGGACGTCGTAGTCCTTCATCTCAAACTTCACTGTGTACCCCGCGCTGCCCACAGGCACCTCGACGGGGAAGTCGGCCGCAGTCAGTCCTTTCCTACCGGTCGCCATGCTAATACCACCACGATGGGGAGGAGAGAACCTAGGGCGAGAGGGGAGGTGCGAGGCAAGAAAAAGAGGAAAGCGAAGTTGGAACTGAGAAATGACAGATAGAGTCCAACCCCCCGTCAAGAAATTGGCGTGGGCCGTCGGTCGGCCACGGCAGCACTCTGCCGCTCTAGAGCGAGGCAGGTCATGGCCGAGGGCGAGCCTCCGGCTTCGGCCGAACCGGGCCTGCCCTCGAGGAGGGGGTTCCGGGGTGGGGTGATGTGGTCCGTGCATGGGTGTCGGAGTGGCGAGAGCGGGCCACGTGTCCACTCCTGAGGGGCTAGCGATGTTGACGAGGGTGGGGTTGGGCCCTCCAAGTTTCGCATCCAACCCCGCCTGCCCGGCGAGGGCAGCCAAAGAGGGTTACTAGGGCCTCGCGGGCACCGCGAAGCGAATGAAGGGGTTACCAGGCCCCTCGTCGCTCGCGCACCAGTTCGCCACCCCGATGGGGTAACGTGGGGTTCTGTATCAATTCGGGGTGGGGGGCCGGGGCGGGGGTCGTGGGGGGGGAGCACCGCCCTGCGCCAGCCTGGCGGGGGATCCACGCGAGGGAGTTGGCCGCCCTGACTCTCGGTCGACCATCACCCCCTTGCGTCGCCCCTGGCAAAACGGAGCGTCACCCCGAATTCCGTTGAGCGATTCAGCAGAACAGCGCCTAAATAACGAGTCGCAAGCGGGTAATAGTCGCGTCACTCCCCACGTGGCGTGATCAGCTGCTCGCTCGGTGAAAAACGAACACGCCGCTCGAACAGTGACCAATCACAATTGCAGAAACAGTAACTCAGCGCGAACAGCTGCTCGCTCATCTTGATCGGCTCACTGCTGCTGACTCAAAAGTAAAACTTCAGTTTTCAACAGCAAACCCTCCTATTGGTCAATGTTGATTTCGCCCCTCCTATCTGTGCCTTGCTCCCATTGGCCGAAATCAAGAGGCTGAGCTAATTTCGCCTCTCCTCATAAGAACACCACATTCTTCTCCATGCTTCACTCGGATTGGTCGATTCCACACCCCGCTTTTAGAGATTCGCCTTTTCCCTCAGCTGACATATATATTTCTTGATAGAAGCCAGCAGGTTGACAAGTACAATAAAGAATGTATGAATTCTTCATATATATTTCTTCAATGCGCCATTGCTCATTACTTTCGCTTTATCGCATAATGTGACATATGTTATCTCCACTATTCGTTGTCAGAATGAACAGGCAGGAATGAGGAACTAGAAAGGATGGTGAGTACAAATATGAAACCCTAATGTTGTGACCCCCCTATAGGCTAACCCATGTTAAACTGTATTATGCTTGTAGGCTGTAGTGGGGTAGCCAATATGGGGTACAACCCCAACTAGGGTTTCATATTTGTACCCAAACTTCTGCTAGTTCATCATTCTTGCCTAGTGATTCTGACATGGTATTCAGAGCAGGAGGTCCCTAGGACCTACCGACCGTTTTTTTTAAGGGCCCACCACCGCTCGCATGCGGTTACCACGCTACCCTGTGCCTTAGCCTCGTAGCGCCCTCGTGCGCCCTCGTTAGCGCCCTCGCGCGCACCCTCGTTAGCGCCCTCGCGCGCCCCCTCGTTAGCGCCCTCGCGCGCCCCTTCGTTAGCGCCCTCGCGCGCCCCTTGCTAGCGCCCTCGCGCGCCCCTCACTAGCGCCCTCGCGCGCCCCTCGCCGAGCCGCCCGCTCGCAGCCCGCCCGCCCGCTCGCTGCCCGCTTCGCGGCCCGCTCGCTACGCAGCCCGCCCGCCCGCTCGCTGCTCGCTTCGCGGCCCGCCCGCCTCGCAGCCCGCTCGCCCCGCTGCCCGCTTCGCGGCCCGCCCACTTCGCAGCCCGCCCGCCCGCTAGCTGCCCACTTCGCGGCCCGCCCGCATCGCAGCCCGCTCGCCCCGCTGCCCGCTTCGCAGCCCGCCCGCCCGCCCGCTGCCCGCTTCGCGGCCCGCCCGCCTCGCAGCGTCGCCCGCCCGCCGTGCTGCCCGCTTGCAGCGCCGCCTGCCCGCCGCGCTGCCCGCTTCCCGGCCCGTCCGCCGCGCTGCCCGCTCGCAGCGTCGCCCTCCCGTCGCGCTGACCGCTTGCAGCGCCGCCTGCCCGTAGCGCCAGCCTCGCCCGCTGCTCTCTATCCGTGCACAGTCGCCTTCCCCTGCTGCGGCAGCTTGCGTTACTCTGTCACACTGTCGCTATGGCTTCCATCCGCGTGCTGTCGTTCGATACTGAGGGCCGCCCTGTGCGGTTCACCGCTTGGCTAGATGACCTGCAGCTGTTTCTCCTGAGCGATAGCAAGGAGCATGTGTCGCTCTATGATTACGCGTCTGGTGCTGCGCCTGCCCCTCCTGCCACAGCTGAGCTTAGTGTTCGTTCCCACTGGCAGACTCGTGACGCAGCTGCTCGCCTAGCCATTCGCAGTCACCTGCCGTTAGCTGAGCTAGAGCATTTTGGCGACTGCAAATCCGCTAAGGCCCTGTACGACGCTGTCGTCGCTCGCTACTCCTCGCCTGCCACAGCCGAGCTTAGCCGCCTCATGCTGCCGTACCTGTTCCCCGATCTGTCCACCTTTACTACAGTCGCCGATCTTATCACCCACCTTCGCACTAGTGATGCTCGCCTGCGTGCCGCCCTTCCCACCGAGTTCTGCGCTAAGAACCCCCCTCCACTGTACTGGACACTCCACTTCATAGTCACCCGTCTCCCTGACACCCTCCGCTCAGTTCGAGACCACTTCCTTGCTCGCTGTCCCACTGAGCTCACAGTCGCCCTCCTAGAGGAGCACCTGCTCGCGGCCGAAAAGAGCATTGTAGCTGTCGGTGCTGCTCGTGGCGCTCCTCGCACCCCCATCTTTGAGGGGTGTTCTCCCTCTCCCCTCGCTCCCTCCTACGCTGCTGCTGCTGCTGTTGACTTCCTTGGTGCTGAGTCTGTTGGCGCTGCTTCTACTCCTGGTGGGAGGCGCCGCACCGGCAAGGGCAAGGGGGGCAAAAGTGGTGGTGGTGGCGCTGGGGGGGGAGGAGGTGGGGGAGGTGGGGGGGGAGGCGGTGCTGGAGGGAGCGGTGGCGGGAGCGCTGGTGGGAGTGGGGTCGGTGGTGGAGACGGGGGCGGCGGAGGAAGCAGTGGCAGTAGTGGCGGCGGCGGCGGTGGCGGCGGTGGCGGTGGTGGCGGTGGTGGCGGTGGCGGTCGGAGCGGTGGTAGTGGTGGCGGCGGAGGTCGGAGTGGAGGCACTGGCTCGGGCCAGAGCTCCCAGCAGCAGCAGCGTCCCCAGACGACCCAGCAGCTTCGTGAGTGGCTTGCTCAGCGTGGGACGTCGGGGGCCAGTGCCCGCTGTTCTTATGTCATTCGCACAGGTGACCGCAAGGGACAGACGTGTGGGAGGTTCCACACCCCGTACCGCTGCTTCTCCCGCCTTGACGACGCTTGGCGTGAGGAGATGGGTGCGGATGTTGAGCGCCCCCGCTGGGCTGAGCTCATGAGGGCTGGTGTTGATGTCTTTGCTCTTGACTATGATGCTATTATTGCTGCCATGTATGCATTGACTGTTAGTGCCGAGGGAGACTGTTACTTGTGTGTGCCGCCTGACCCAGGTATAGAGCCTGCTGCCCTGGGTACTAGTGAGTCTGCTCTCTCTGGTATGGTGCCCCCTGTACTTGCTCCCCCCAGTGCTGTCCCGGCTGGTTTCGAGTCTGCTCTCTCAGGTACAGCACCCACACAGACTCCTCTCTCAGGTACCGCACCGGCTGAGGCCTGTCACACCTTCACCCTTGACTCAGGTGCTTCCCGTTGCTTCTTTCGTGACAGTACTGAGCTCACACCGCTTCCTGCACCGGTCCCAGTCTCCTTGGCTGACCCCTCTGGGGGCCCAGTCCTTGCCCAGTCCACCACTGTCCTCCCTTGTCCGGCGGTTCCGTCTGGCTCGTTGTCGGGTTTCCACCTCCCCTCGTTCTCGACGAACCTGGTGAGCAACGCTGTCCTCCAGGATCAGTGGGTTGACACCTTTACCCCTGGCGGACAGCGTGTGGCGATCTGCACGTGCTCCAGGACCGGCCGTCACCTGGCTACGTTCACCCGTCGGCCGGGGTCGAGTCTCTACACACTGACCACTGCGTCTCCCCAGGTAGCTGCTGTCGGTCAGGTGTCTGCGTCAGGTCTGGTGGCCCACGCCTGTGAGTGTCGTTCCCTGTCGCACCAGACTCTTCTCTGGCACCACCGCCTGGGTCACCCCTCCTTGCCACGCCTTCGTGGCATGCACCGTCGCCTCCTTGTGTCCGGTCTTCCCAGGTCCCTCCCTCCCCTCCCTGCCTCGCCTGCGCCGCCTTGCCTTCCTTGCGTCGAGGGGCGGCAGCGCGCCGCTCCTCACTCCTCCTCGTTCCCCCCGACAGAGGCTCCTCTGCAGACCCTCCACCTGGACGTGTGGGGCCCAGCCCGCGTTCGTGGTCAGGGCGGTGAGCGGTACTTTTTGCTGGTTGTCGACGACTACTCGCGTTACACCACGGTCTTCCCCTTGCGCACCAAGGGTGAGGTCCCTGCTGTTCTGATCCCTTGGATCCGCACGGTTCGTCTCCAGCTCCGCCGCCGTTTCCGGACGGATCTTCCTGTCCTGCGTCTGCACTCTGACAGAGATGGTGAGTTCTCCTCCGACCTCTTGAGGACCTTCTGTCAGGCGGAGGGCATCGAGCAGACCTTCACGCTTCCGGACTCCCCACAGCAGAATGGGGTTGCTGAGCGTCGCATTGGCCTGGTCATGGAGGTCGCTCGTACCTCCTTGGTCCACGCGGCGGCTCCCCATTTTCTGTGGCCGTTTGCTGTCCGGTACGCCGCGCATCAGCTCAACCTCTGGCCCCGTGTCTCCTTGCCGGAGACCTCGCCCACACTGCGTTGGACGGGGGAGGTTGGCGATGCGTCGCGCTTCCGGGTGTGGGGTGCTCGTGCCCTTGTCCGCGATACGTCTGCGGACAAGCTCTCCTCCCGCACGCTTCCCTGTGTCTTCCTTGGCTTTGTCCCTGACGCGCCTGGCTGGCAGTTTTACCACCCCACCTCGCGCCGGGTCTTCGCCTCTCAGGATGTCACCTTTGACGAGTCGGTCCCCTTTTACCGTCTCTTCCCCTACCGCACTGCCCCCCTCCCTCCCCCGCCGCTTTTCCTTGCTCCTGGTCCCCCTCCGGTAGACCCCCTTCCCCCTCAGGGTCCTGCTCCTTCAGGTGTCTCTCAGGTAGACCCTCCTCCCGTCGCTGAGCCTGTCGAGGTCACAGGTGAC